TTCCACAGAGCCAGAGAGCAGCTCCACCAGCACATCGGGGTGCTGACAGCCCTGACCCAGCCCCCGGAAAAACGTCCCTGTCCCTTTACCAAGGCCGACTGTGGTGGGGCAGAGTCCTCGGCCAAGAACGCCGTGTCGTCCACCTTCCCTCCCTGTCAAGCTCCTTAGGTCGGATCCGATACTGTGAATGTCTGGACATACTGTGGCCTTTGCCCCACTGCCCGGTACCGTCCGAGGTGACCCTGCTGTGCCCTCGCCCCACCTCCCCTCTCAGGAGACCAAAAGCTCATGGAAAAACAGGCACTTCCGGCCAAAAGCTCTAACAGAACATTTTTAGTGGTGATTCAGGGAAGAGGAGTTAGGAGGTGTTGAAGATCAGGCTCTGGCGTGTGCGGGGCGTGCAGCTCACGGGCGCCCGCGTGCTCCTGCCAGCCCACTCCCTTCCCTTCCCGACGTCGGACTGGCCAGGGAGGGCGCTGTTGGGCAACCTCCTCTGGGAGGCGGGAGGCCCCCAGCACCCTTCTTAGCAGGGGAGCTGGCTCTGCTCACTCCTAGATCTGTCATGCTTTTTGGTTTTGAATTTGTGGTGTCTTTGGGGTTTCTTTTTTTCCCCCTTGGTTTGAAAATGACAACTGGTACCCCCAGTTCCCAGTGAGGATCTTGGCATTTGTAATCAGGAGGGCTCTGATCTTCTGGGTTGCCTTCCACAGATGGACCTGCCCGCAAGCCCCTTAGAATCCCCATTCTAGAGGTGGACAGTGGGTCCCTGGCAGTCCCTGGGGCTCATGGCTGTGAACTAGAGGGCAGGCCAAGGTTGGTCCTGCTCCAGGAGCCAGGGCGCGGTGGCATCTGGGCATCTGCCTTGAACCCAGGTCAGGTGTGAGATGCCCCTGCGGGCAGCTGCAGAGGGGTGCAGCAGCACAGTGGGTATGGTGACACTGTCCCGTCTCAGGAACGCAGGGGCAGGCTGCAGGCACTGAGTCTGAGACAGTGACTTCAGGGTGGGGCCTTGTTGGGGGGGTGGGGGCAAGTCGGGGGTTCAGCCCCACCAGGGAAGGCCACAGTGCTGCTGAAAAGTTTGCCATGGCTCACAGGACTGAGACCGGGGACGAAAGGGCACACAGCCCATGGTGTGTGGTGGCCTTCATGACACAGCCCAGCCCCTTGGCGCTGCAGCCCCCTCCCCCCATCTGCTCCCCACTACAGATGGACCAGAGAACTGAGGCCCAGCTCCCAGCAGCCTGGACCCCAGCCTCCCCTTCCCTCTGCAGGTCTTAGGGGTGGGCAGTCACTCAGGTGCTCTCTGCAGTTGTGTGTGTGTGCACGTGTGTGTGAAGAGACTGCCCAGGTGGGACCGGGAGGGGCCTGTAGTCCAGGGCAGACTGGGCTTTTCTCTGCAGTTGTGTGTGTTCACGCGCGTGTGTGTGGAGACTGCCCAGGCGGGACTGGGAGGGGACCGCGCTCCGGGGCAGACTGGACTCACCCACAGCAGGCCTGCTCGCAGTTTTATTGCTGCTGGAGAAACAGCGCCCTCCAAGCCACGCGAGGTCTCTGCCGTCCAGCCAGAGCAAGACTATGTTCACAAGCTGAGGGCCCCATCGTCACCTCTGCCCGCCCCCAGGACCCCACCTGTGCTGGGAAGTGCGGGGCAGGAGAGGCCACCCTGGGAAACCACCTAGACCCACTCCCGGATGCCCACGAGAACCCTGCCAGGACCTCGCCCCAGGCTGATGGCTTTTACAGATCTCACTTAAATGTATTATTTTGGTGACAAAAATGAAGGAGCTTTGTAAATTTTTTTAAAATTATGAATCCTATCAAGTAGCTGTTTACATTTCTTGACGAGATAGGAGCTAGGCAGCAGGATGAGGGGCAGCGCCCTGGGACGGGCGTTCGGCAGCGCTCAGCCCACTCGGCCCTCCGTAGAGACAGGTGGCCACGGTGCTCAGGTGTGTGGTCTTGCTGCGTGTACTGCATTTTTCAATAAAGCTCGAAAATAAGGACTGACTCTGAGGGTCGCCAACTTGTCAGTGTCTCTTCTACCCGCAGTGGGGACAATTCAATGGGTGGGAGAGTCCCAAACTCACCATGTTCTGCGGCCGATAGGTAAAGGGACTTTGGAGAACTGGCCTACGCCTGCTCGCTGGAGCCTTGGCAGTACGCAGCCCTGAGCAACGGGCCCCCCTGGATGAGGGGAGCTAGAGAGGGGCGTGTCAGGGACTCTGTCCCCATCTCCCATGGCAGTGGAGGTCGCAGCTCACCCCATGGCTCATCTTCCCCCTAGGAGGCCACTCCATCGCCAGGGTCACCTTGCAGGGACCTGCCCACCCCAACCTGCCTTCCAGATCTGGGTGTCTGTGCCAGCCTGGACTTCCCAGTCAGCGGGGGCACCTCCAAGCCCCTCAGGTACCAGCCAGGCCTAAGGCCACATACGGAGGCTGGAGAAATCTGAGGCCTAGTCAGGCTGGTCTCCACACTCAGTCGCCCTGGGCCAGCCCTGAACCCCAGTGCAGCAGCTTCTCTGCCAGGACCGCTGGAGGCCCCTCTCTGGGCGCAGGCCGGGCGGGGATGTGAGCGCCCATCTGCTGGACCGGCTGGACTCCCATCCTCCGGTTAGGCAGTGTCGGCGCCGCGGCCTCCCCGCAGGCTGCCCGCCTCCTCAGACCCGGGCCAAGCCCCCGCCCAGTTTGGCATAACCCCGCAGACTGAGGCGGTCCAGCCGCGGCCAGCTTCCGTGTGCGCAGTCCCGAGCTGCAGGGGCCCCGAGCAGGAGCTCTCCGAGGCCCAGATCCAGAGACTTGGAGTGCTCGATGCAGGAGCCGGAGGGCTGCACCGTGATGATCACGTGGCCAGCCCGGGTGCCGGGGGTCCAGGGCGGGGGCAGCCCCGGGCCCTGCAGCGGGTAGCCGTTGAGCAGGGCAGGGAGCCCCAAGCGAGGATTGGCAGGCTCTGAGCGCAGACTCCGCACTGAGGGCACGGGCGAGGCCCCCCGGCGTGGGGACAGGTCCCAGCCTCCCGGCTCTGCGCAGCCCACGGCTCGGGGAGTCCTGGGGCCGGGGCTGGGAAGGAGCGCACAGTCCCAGGCGGGGCCGTCGGCGGGGCGCAGCGCCCTGGCCCGCCGCGCGGCCGCCGGCGCGTCTCCAGGTCCCGGTTCTCGTAGAGCAGCGTGTTGGCACAGATGAACACGAACAGGCCGACGCCCATGATCACCGGCCCGAGAAGCCGCAGCCGCTCCTGGGGGCCGTGGGCCCCGCCCGAA